TAACTACACTGAGGTAATTACACTTAGGTAATTACACACATCTTAGGCCTACGACCAGGAGTTGAAATCAGACTGATATAGAACGCAAAATGAAAGGTATAGTTCATTTTAATATACAGTATTTTCATGAATACAAAAGATTCAGAACGTTGGTTGACGGTATTTAACCCCCTTTTGGTTTGTTGCTGAAAACCCACCAACTCTGGGCCGATCTCTGATATTGTTATTCGATATATGGAAATAGACCTTAGTTGGGGTGAGGTTAGGTTACGTTAGTAACGTGTGAGGTTTAGGTGAAGTGAAGTCATGTTAGGTTAGGCGAGATGAAAAGTGTGTTATAGATTGTTTATCTAATGCTTTAATCATTTAATGCTATTATAAAAAAAATAATTTTTACGGGCTGGCCATAGCCCGTGCTACATGGACACTTCGTTCTGAGTAGCTAAATCTGAAACAACAAGAACAGCTTTAATCAAATTATGTGCGCATTATAAACGGAAATTATATTTTGTTATCGTCTAAAGCTTATTATGTTTTTTAGTTATGAAAAAAAAGACTTGAAAAACAGTACAAGAAGTCAGCGGGGAAGGTGCGCATCCCCGCGGGCAGTGGATCATCGTCTTGATTTTCCTTATATACATAACGAACAGTAACTAGGCCTAAAAAGAACAGAACGTTCCTGATGGCTTCCATCTTATCTTACAAAATCAGAACATCACAATATTGGGAGGGAGCGATAGGAACGCCGCATCCTGTAGGAATCTTAAAGCCAAAATACATATTGAAATCTTACGAAATTTCTGACCTATTACGTAGTTAAGCTATTAAAACAAAATTTTAAAGACAAATGTAGATTTAGGCGGCTAGCGGCTGAAGACAAGTTGGCGGGAAGTGCTGTGGTCGGTTGAAACACTGCGACCTTCGTTCGTCAATAATGTTGTAGTTCTTCTTTTAAATTACATTAGGCTAGGAACCTTCAAGCTCTATAGAATAGTTATCAGCACAGGCCAAGCACAGCCACATCGCATGGGCCAGTAGGCCATCACGTACATAAATTTATTATAACAAAAATTATAACGAATATGCATAGGTCAACGGAGCTTCTTCATTGGTACGCTTAGGTTTTTGGCCAATAAGACCAACAACCGGGACAATAGCCGCTCTGCGCCTCGTGCTGTTAAGTAGCAAAATATTGACTGCTTATATTAAACAGCGTCGATACTACGTCCGAACCATGACGACAATAGCCGTTGATACTCTCTCACCGACCGCTTATGTTCATCTTTTCTTGGTTGTGATAAACAGCTTTGGTTAGGTTTATTTACATTAGGTAAATTACGTTAAGCAGTTGTGTTTCAGGTCATGTCAGTCTTAATCTTATGATAGTCTTGAAAGTAATTCCACGGTGTTTACGGTGGCGTCTTTGTTTATGCTCCTTATCACCTCCGCTTCCCCATGGGTTGATATCGACTCCGTTGTCAATGTCAGCGGCATCAGGCTAATTTAATGAAATGTGGCAAATGTGGCCCTATGGATGAAATCTGAAATCTGGCGTCGGCGCCACACTACTTTGCGCCTTAAGCAAGAAGCAAGACCAACAAATCTACTTGGAAACAAAAAATGTCAATTTAATTTTTCTTAAACAGATATTTTGTAGAAAAATAAAAAAACACAAAATTGCTAAATTTGGTTTAAATTATAAAAAGAAGTAATCCACCCATCTTTGATTATTTTTCTAAATTTCGAAAGATAATAATTTAGCGCACACAGTTTTGAATGAAAGGACCCTCAGTAGAATGTCTCTTGGGTGGCTGAATCAATCGATCAATCTTGGTAGAATGTGTCTGTACCTCCACCAAGGGAGGTAACACAACTCTCAAACTCCACCTTTCAACCTTTTTATAAACTATTTCATCGGCGCGCTTGCGATAATCATTGTTCTTGGTGCTCTTTCACAATTTGTGTACCCCAAACACTTATTTTGAATCCATAAATATATAATCCGAATTACTCTCAGAAATGAATGGAAATGTTCCCCTTATCCGAAAGCTATCTGTAAATTTTGATTTATAATTCATGTATTATTTTTTAAGATATTTACGTATAGCACAATAAATATATTTTTTATGTTTAAGTGATATATCAAATATCACTAAACAAATAAACAAAAGCTTTATAACCTATGGGTTATAAAGGATCATCAAAAACATTCAAACAACAAATATGTATACAACTGTGACCTCAAAGGTCCAAATCAGACCTATACTGTGTATACCAAATCTACACAGTAAAATAACAACATACTGGAGTGAACGATATGGAAGAAAATGCAGAATAGAACCAGTGAAGAGCAGAGGTGCCATAGGCACAATCAGAGAACACTGTATAAACATCAGCGGTCCACGGTTGTTCAACATCCTCCCAGCGACCATAAGAAATATTGCCGGAACAACCGTGGACATCTTCAAGAGAAAACTAGATAAATTTCTCCAAGGAGTGCCGGACCAACCGAGCTGTGGTGGGTATGGGGTCCTGCGGGCCGCTCCAAGCAACAGCCTGGTGGACCAAACTCTCACAAGTCAAGCCTGGCTTGGAGAGTAGAACTCCCAGAACCCTATCAACCAGGTAAAGGTCAATACTGCGCCCCTCTGAGGGCTACACCCTAGGCGGCTGGTCTCATAGTAGCACCTGGCCTGGCCCTAGTTATATAAGGCACGCCTAATATGTTCTATAATAGGCCTAGGAATGTTTAGATATTTTAGCTTTTTTCCGGACTATGAAATTATAAGTACAAAGTCAACTTTTTGGTGGTGCGTCACTTCATATTTGTATTGTCGACCAAACAGTTGCTGTAAGCACGTGTCATTTCACGAGGCTAGGCTGTAAGTAACATTTCAGGAGGCTGGGCTGTAAGTAACATTTCAGGAGGCTGGGCTGTAAGCAACATTTCAGGAGGCTGGGCTGTAAGTAACATTTCAGGAGGCTGGGCTGTTAGTAACATTTCAGGAGGCTGGGCTGTAAGTAACATTTCAGGAGGCTGGGCTGTAAGTAACATTTCAGGAGGCTGGGCTGTAAGTAACACTTCAGGAGGCTGGGCTGTAAGTAACATTTCAGGAGGCTGGGCTGTGAGCAACATTTTAAGAGGCTGGGCTGTAAGTAACATTTCAGGAGGCTGGGCTGTAAGTAACATTTCAGGAGGCTGGGCTGTAAGTAACATTTCAGGAGGCTGGGCTGTTAGTAACATTTCAGGAGGCTGGGCTGTAAGTAACATTTCAGGAGGCTGGGCTGTAAGTAACATTTCAGGAGGCTGGGCTGTGAGCAACATTTTAAGAGGCTGGGCTGGTGTCGTCTCCGCGGGCTCCCGGAGAAGTTATTTCATCACAGAAGTCGTCAGATAATCGTGTATAACCATTAAGACGAGTTACAGTGAACTTGAAGTGAGAAATATTGTTTTTACCGAAAAAAAGACTAATAGCTGAAGTGTAATTAGTCTTTTAATACATAAGGAGTTCAAATTACAAGGGACAAAAACTTACATTGCCCTAAGATATGTTAGATTTTGAAATTGAAATTCATATGCTGCAATGCTAGGCAAAACATCCTCAAATTTGACGCTTGTGAAATCGTGACAACAGACTAAGGGATGAACTAAAGTGTATAGAAACGTTAAAGTGGACAAACGGTCCCTTAAACGGAACATTGTGGTGCCCTTTATAATTCAAAAATATATATGAAGTTATCTTAAATACAAATTCATAACTTACGATCCCTCCACAACGATCCCTCCTCCCTTCAAAACTCCACGATCCATTTAACAACGATCTAGATTCAGATTTTAGATCTGAAAAGATTCAGATGTTCGCTGACCCTTTAGGTCGGCTTCCCCCCCCCCACACACACACACGCCATCCAATTGTCAGAATTTGATGAAAAATAATAAACACCATGCCTATTACAATGACCCCCCAAACTGCGTACTCTGAAACGCACTGCCAAAAAGAGTTGAACCTGCATATAGGGAAACCCGTACGCCAACGATGCTTAAGTTCTTTCAGAGAGCGCTAACCAAGACAAGGGAACGCATGACAAGAGGCAAGATAACTGTGCAACTTTTGTTAACAGTTTCAACTCTCACAGTCCCCTCAGCCAAGCATGGAAGATGAATGTAACGTGTTATTTACTGAGTTTGAGTTACTCTCGGCCCTGAACAAAGGTAAAGCCACATCCCTCGGTGAGGATGGTATCACTTATGACATATTGCGTTTGCTTCCTTTAGTACCAGGAAATCCCTTTTTTGAACTGTATAACATATTACTGGGGAATTACCTATCTCTTGGACCAATAGTATCATCATTCCAATTCCCAATCCCAATCAAGAGAATGTTTTCCGCCTAATTTCCCTTACTAATGACGAGGGAAATATCGCATAATATATACATGGAAGATACTGGAAGGCCAGGTCCCAACCTTGCACAGCAAAATACAATATACTGGATCGAGCGACATGACAGGAAATGCAGAATACAATGAGTGCAGAGTAGAGGTGTCATAACCACAATCAGAGAACACTACATGAGCATCAGAAGTCCACGGCTATTCAGTATCTTCCCAATAAAATAAGAACTATTCACGGAACAAAAGTGGACGTTTTCGAGACAAAATAAAACGACAGTTCCTGCAGGAACTGTCGGAGCCACTCTGAGTGTAATGGGTATGTGGGCCGCTCCAAGCAACAGTCTTCTGGATCCAAGTCATCACAAGTCAAGCCTGACCCCAGGCGGGGTTTGGGGAGTGGAAAACACCCAAACCCCTTCCAGGTGTACTTCAGGTAAGTAGGGATATTTAGAAGTGGTAGTAGTTAGCAGACTTAGTAATAAGAAGAAGAACAAAACATGGTTACATCAGGTCACAAAACTAGCGTGCCTAAGTTTGACCTGGAAGAAGTAGCAGTAAGAGATGATGGATAATGAGGGTAATTCCTGGGTGGTGGTGTTCCACAGGGCGGGAGATGAACGGCTTGGGCAGCGAGGAGGAGGAGATCAGCAGTCGACGGGGTCACCCTCTCTATGGCCACGGTGTCTGCAAGTGGCCGGGCTGTGAAGCCATCTGTGACGACATTCACTCCTTCCATAAGTAAGTTACTTCTGTTTCTATTATCTGCACTAGTAATATGAGTTTAACATTTTCTTATGTATTTTTAATTTTTCTATCATGCGTGAAAATCTATAAGCACTTAAAAGTTGATTTTCGTTTAAATAGTTTATAATGGAGGCATACCCATCATGTAGGCAGTGGCAAGGTTACATAGTCACATAATGGTTTCAGGAATTGTATCCTCATTGTTCACTAAGCAATGCAATTTACATCTGCATTGAACCATTTCAATTGTATTTATATTTGCCTATCATCCCCTATCCTCACAGTGGCGGCTGTGGTAAGTCTACAGTCATATCGTAAAAGTTCTGGAAGCATATTCCTTTCCCACAGTAGGCAAACGTTGGATACTTGACTTAAGATTTTGGGTAATGTTTGTCTGTGAAATATTTAGACACCTTGTTTTTCTCATATATATTTACATTTTGAGAGGGTGTGTAAATAGTTAATGGTAGCGCAGTGGTAATAATTAACACTGGGCAATTTGATCTGGGTTCGAGTCCTGGTCAGGAGGATCGACTGGGCACGAATCATTAACTGTTAATCCTGCAGTAATTGGGTACCCAGTCATAAACCGATTGGCGAGTCATGTTCCAAGGAAAGCTAGTGGGTAAGGCTTAATAAGAGCTATATGGGAAGGGAAAGCTCTCAGCTTGCTAACAGGAGTCAAAAGTCTTTACTCCTGTACCCACTTGTGTAAAAAGAAAATGTAGGTTAATAGTTATATGATTAAAGTGGTCTTTCATTGCAGGCACCTAAATACGGAACACACGTTAGACGACCGGTCGACAGCCCAAGCGAGAGTGCAGATGCAAGTAGTGAGCCAATTGGAGCGACAACTTACCAAGGAGAGAGATCGACTGCAGGTGAGTGCTGCCCATTGTCGTGTAGGATGCAGCTCTCGGTATTGCCCTCAGGGCAAGTAAGCAAGTAAGTAATTATCAAAAGGAGGGCACCAAGCCAGGAAGTCTAATGTAGCACCTCAGGGCAGTAGTATTGAAAGGTATTCTTTAATCTGTCGTGAAGCTGTAGGTTACCTACTGGATGGGGTTCTGGAAGTTCTACTCCTCGAGCCCTGCCTGGGGGCCAGGCTTGACTGAGGTATTGCCTTCAAAGCGATACTGTAGGTATTCTTTAATGTTTCAGACTAGGAATTCAACTGGTCCCATTGTAACAGCAAAGGTGATTTAATTTGTGATATATACCATTTTATATGATAACATTCAAAGAGTATAGTGTTTTTTATGTTTATTTAATATAGTCTTGTTAACAGCAGTCGGATGTTGGAAATGAAATGTAACGTGATATATGAGACCTACACCTGCTTGTGCGAGGCCTTTAACCGAGAGCAGAGTGCTTGAGTGAGGCCGAGATTAGAGCTCGGAGGAGGGCGAGAACGTAGAGCTGCCCGGAGGGCGAGAGCGTGGAGCTGGAAGGAGGGCGAGAGCGTAGAGCTGGAAGGAGGGCGAGAGCGTGGAGCTGGAAGGAGGGCGAGAGCGTAGAGCTCGAATGCTGAGTTCGAGTGGGTAGCTCAAGTACGGCAGGAGTAAGCTGCCATATTTGTATCCATAAACTGGATTTGTGCAGGAATAAGCTGTCTGCTCTGTAGCGAGGCAGTAGCGTCTTGTGAGAGAGATGGAACTAGACTCCTCAAGTGTTACATCGTTGCTGAGGGAATGTCGATGGAGAAGCTCCTCATTATATCCAAAACGTTTGTCACTAAACCACTATTGGAGTTAGTCTGTCGATTCTACATTGTTGTTGTTTTAGATTCAACTACTCTGAACAAAAAGTTTCAATTAGCACCGGCTATGGTGAGCTGGTAGTGGACTTACCTGGCACAAGAGGGGGCTGTAACTCCGATTCTACGTTCGTGTCCAGCATATATCCATACTTCCCCTAACCTTGTGTTGGACAGAATGCTTCTGGCAGGTTGGAGAAAACTTAGTTGGTTACTTTTGGCATTCCTAAGTGACTTGTGAAAACATGTTTTAATTGTAATTAGTGCACAAAGGCAGACTGTTGGATTTCTAGATAGAGCAAGTACAGTGCTGTATATTATGCCAAAAGTGAATAGTATGCACAGAGTTTCAGGTAAGATGTGAACAAATAAACTTAAAAACTGTGACTTAAATGTAAGTTTATCATCTGTAGCACTTGCTTCATATGGGATTTATGACCTGTGTGAATTCTAGACCTCGTTAGTCATAGGGTACTCCAACCAAATTCAGTTAGGTACCACAACCAAATCACCAAATGGCTTTCAGCGTATCTTTGTCACTTAATGTCATAATGTTCACTTAACTGTTAATCCCGCAGTAATTGGGTACCTAGTCGTAAACCGATTGACGAGTCGTGTTCCAAGACTGAATGTGTGAATTTGACTGTAGGAGTGAAAATTCGTAAAAAGTATACATGCATCTGTTGTATACACACAAATTGGTGTTCATCTCTCTTTAAGTGGATGAGTATGTGCCATCTCATTGATCACTTCAACATAAATACGACAATACACAACAGGAATTTCCTTTTCTAGATTCATTACCTGTATTATTTTCTTTTAGGCCATGATGAACCATTTACATATGAACAAGCAGCAGCAGCAACAGCAGCAGCAGCAGCAACAGCAACAACAACAATCTCACCATCCTCCACCACGGGTTTCTTCGCCAGAACCTCCCCCACCTCAACCAAAACCCCTTATCGAACCTCCCTCACAGGTGTGTCATGTTTCTAACTTTATTTGCTGGAAGTGATAATATTACCAGTTACCTGGTTATTAACTAACTATTAATTAGTATTACTACCTAAGTTTAGTTACAGGATGAGAGTTAGGTGGTGTCCCCATCTTCACTATAATCTTTGTCATATGATGCTTTCAATCTAATGATCGTTTTGGCATCCATGACCTTCTCCCTTAAATTGTTCCAACTGTCCACAATGCTGTTCTTAAAAATTAATTTTTATATAATTTCTGGGTGTGGGGGAGCTCCTTGTGGCTCCCTGAAGCTTCAATAATGATATAGTGCCTATATCAAACTACTAGGTACCATCATTTGCGGAGTTCTTATTGGCCTACCGAGGGCTACGAGCCAGAACCTGGCCCCCTCAGAGAGGCACAGGAAGCACTGATGATATGACAAATTTTATGTAAATTTATTCATGTCTGTCACCAACAAGGAAAGGCACCCAGAAAGTCAGCAAAACAAAACAGACCACGACTTCATTAATAACCAGATCACAGGCTCAAAACAGCCAAAAGAACTCCCCCCCCTCCCCAACAATGTAAATAAACTATCAAAAATTCATAAAACTAACATGAGATGGTTTGCCCCACCTCCCCCCTTGTCTGGGGGTAAGGAGGGAGGCAGACTGGGTCAAACCTGACAAAGCTATAAAAAAAAGCTGACTGAATCAGGAACTCAAGAGGATTGTAGTCCATACCTGGTAATGCTTACACATGAGGTGTGAAATAGATCTGTAATCAACAAGAGGAGTAATGGAGGCAGGTGTGGTCATTGGGGGCCAGAAAGCACTGCACCCCTAACTAAAACTGCACACAGTAGAAACAGCCATCAAACTGGTTTCAGCTGCCTCTGACTTGATCAGCCAAGCTAAAATATTACAAAAGCTGGGTGACTAATCCCAAGCCAAACCTAAGACAAAAAGTAGAGATGTTAGAGCAGCATACTTGGTAATATCCTAGTCAAAATCTGTCGCTTAATGGATAGAAAATAGTAAGGGGAGTCTATGGCCAAACTAATACAATGAGCACAGGTTGTTTGTGTTCCAAATGCCAAATCCTACACTAAGGACAGAACTTAAGGCATCAATGGGGCAGTGGAACAACTCAAGAGGAGCTATGATGATGTCACTTCTACTCAGCTTGAGATATCTCTGGTAGCCAAGCCAAGGCCCTTGACAAAAACAGTGCAAGGGCAGAACATTCTGAAATACAGCTGCCATTGGAAAGTGCTATAAAACAGTGTGTTAATAACCAGTAACATGCAGTATAGTGAATATTAAAACATGAGAAGCCCTTACATAGAAAAAAGTTTCAAAGGAAAAAGTGATTATGACATTTCTTGGTGGCCGGTGCAAAGCCAGAGGCAGGAAATGTGAACCTCCATACAACAAATGAGATTGCTGGCTTCTCTAAAAATGTTGTGGTAATGGTAGTGGCTGATTGTTCAGCCTGTAGCAGAGCAATAATTGATGTTATTTGATTTCAGTTTTCATTTGGAGGAGGTTTGTTGAGTCTAATGTTCATTTTTCTGAATGATAATCAATCGGTCTTTTGATAATGGCTCAAGTTAGATTTATCAGTCTTCCTTCCCCAAATTCTTTTAAAATGTTGCAATTCATGGTGGGTGAACAGGTCATTAGATCCTGGTTGATTGGGATGTTCATCTGTGGATCCATATACAGTATATGTTGCTGGCTCAAGGCAGTGTATGCCTAAATTTCACCCAACAAGTTGTATTCATTTAGCACATAATATGCAGTATCCTTCTCGTTCACAGAGTCCTGGTGGGATATTACCTAAGCTGCCGATGAGTGCCGGATTGCTAGGGGGTGGTGTATTGGGAGGCAACCCGCTAGGTCTCCCACACTCACCTATGGGACAGATGCCTCCAGTATCTTTATTTAGGTTAGTTTATTAAATAAATAGTAGTTTTATAATGTGTTGGATTCTTTTTTTTTCTTTTTTTTTTAATATGGTACATTACTGCACTATAGTGTATTCGAGTCATAATACTATAGTAGAATACACTTCATTATCAAGTCAATAAAATTATGTGAATTATTATAGGATGCATTTGACTTCAACAGATGTACTTTATATTTTTGTAAAAGTATTTCAATAGACAAAAGTTAGCAAAGCCAATGAGTACCCAACTATTTCTTAAGATTTCAAGGCTATGACATATATTTTATTCCCCTTGCACTTGTATGAATAATAAACACAAATACAGGGTAGTTTGAAAATTTGGTTGTGAATTAATTATTCACTACAAATACATAAACTTTTTAATACTACTGAGCAAATGTAAAACAATTTTTGTAAGTGAATAAAGCTTTGCCCAGGAATGAAAGGTAAGTTCAAATAAAACTACATAGACAAGAAGTTTGTTATTCTCAGAAGTCTTTCCAGATTCATGCAAGAAAATGTGTAAATCTGAATCATTGCCGTATAAATTGTTAATGTTTATGTGCATTTAATATAGTCCCCACAGTCCTGCAAGGGACTGTCCCCATGGCGCACTCGCCCTGCGCTTCGCGAACAATTTGGCCTGGGTTCATATCCTGGCCAGGAAGGATTGGTTAGGCACCAGTCCTTAACCAAGGATTAAGTTGTTAAACTATTTGGGGAGTTGTATTCCAGGAAAAAATTAGGATTAAGAACCTGCCCGAAATGCTATGCGTGTTAGTGGCTTTACACGAATATAAGAACTCTTGTATATAAAAAATAAAATGTGCAATGGTTTGAGATACTGTAGTAGCCTACATCTTAAGAAAATATGAGGGATGTGAGTAATGAGTAAATAGTATGTAAATTAATAATTGAAATGTCATTACAGCAGTAATCTTATTTTCTGTTATTCATTAAATTTGTTCACGTTAAAATAAAAACATTCAAACATTCAGTTAAATCTCAAATCTGAGAAGACGTCTTTTAAACTTCCACACTAGATCTAACCGTGGCATTTTTTCATGCATTGTAAAAATAATTTGATATTTCTACATTTTTGTTACTCTAGTGTAGTAAAAAAATAGTGTGCATATACCATATGCATACAGTACTGTACTCGCATCTTTCTGCAGTGCAATAGGTTCTCGGCCGCCACCTATACTTCAGCCACCTACTCCAACTAGTTGTGGGCCTCTCCGAAGAAGACTAACGGACAAAGCAGCTCTCCTCACTCCAGGTAATAACTACTCCATAGAGTGCCTAAATTCTTTTGCACACTTTCCTTCTATTGCTTCCATTCTGAGCTTCCTGCTTTAAGTTTCCCATTTTTCTGAACTTTTAATAGCATGAGTTAATTGAACAGAGCACAAAGTGCTGGCAAAAATGCATAAAGATAAATACGAAGTTGAGAGTACATTTTCCTGAGGATAATGTTTCTCCTGTAAAGGCTTTATAAAGTCTGATATATATATTGCACTTCCAGGCAAGGTGTTGTCTTTCATAAAGTGTACTCTTTATTTAGTGTTTCTCTATGTAATATTGTGGTCTGACATGCAGTTTCTATCTGATTTTATTTTTAAAATTTGTCAATACAGTACACAGAACTCCCATTGAAATGAAAATAGGTGTAATATGAAGCAGAATGCAACAGGAGGAGTCCATTCTAGTAGTATGATCATCTTATTCAGTTGCAACTCAAATAACAAGCTTTCTTTTGGTAAATTGGGCCTGTGAAATCACTGGATCTTTATTCAGTGCTAAGACAGGAAACAAAAACAAATTTAAGCAATGTTAGTTTCAAAATATGAATGAAGGCATTTTTCATTGTAGGCATCAATTTAAACATAATAATGCTCGATATAAAATAATGACAAATTGGAAATTTTGGATATAACACAAATATTGTTGCAATGGAACAGTTCTGTATGAATATATTCAAACGGGAGTTCGGTGAACTGCAATTGTGCCTTACTGAAATTAAAATGTAATATTTGTGCAAAAAAATCTATCGTGGTTGTTGGGCTCATAAATTACTCAAAACTTATATACTGTAATGAAATTTGCAAAATAAACATCTAAAAAATATTAAATTTTCATGGGATAACTATAAAATATTTCAGTCTCATTGAATAAGGTGAATAAGGTTTATTTCTTTTTTAATTATGATACACTGTATACAGCAGTTTTGACTCAATATGCCCATATAACATTTTTTTTATAGTTGTGTTATTAATAATGTAATATTTAATATATATATATATATATATATATATATATATATATATATATATATATTATATATATATATATATATATATATATATATATATATATATATATATATATATATATATATATATATATATATATATATATATATATATATATATATATATATATATATATATATATATATATGTCGTACCTAATAGCCAGAACGCACTTCTCAGCCTACTATTCAAGGCCCGATTTGCCTAATAAGCCAAGTTTTCATGAATTAATGTTTTTTCGTCTACCTAACCTACCTAACCTAACCTAACCTAGCTTTTTTTGGCTACCTAACCTAACCTTACCTATAAATATAGGTTAGGTTAGGTTAGGTAGGGTTGGTTAGGTTCGGTCATATATCTACGTTAATTTTAACTCCAATAAAAAAAAATTGACCTCATACATAGAGAAAAGGGTTGCTTTATCATTTCATAAGAAAAAAATTATAGTAAATATATTATTTCAGGAAAACTTGGCTTATTAGGCAAATCGGGCCTTGAATAGTAAGCTGAGAAGTGAGTTCTGGCTACTAGGTACGACATATATATATATATATATATGTCGTACCTAGTAGCCAGAACGCACTTCTCAGCCTACTATGCAAGGCCCAATTTGCCTAATAAGCCAAGTTTTCCTGAATTAATATATTTTCTCTAATTTTTTTCTTATGCAATGGTAAAGCTACCCATTTCATTATGTATGAGGTCAATTTTTTTTATTGGAGTTAAAATTAACGTAGATATATGACCGAACCTAACCAACCCTACCTAACCTAACCTAACCTATCTTTAAAGGTTAGGTTAGGTAAGGTAGCCAAAAAAGTTAGGTTAGGTTAGGTAGGTTAGGTTGTCGAAAAAACATTAATTCATGAAAACTTGGCTTATTAGGCAAATCGGGCCTTGCATAGTAGGCCTAGAAGTGCGTTCTGGCTACTAGGTACGACATTATATATATATATATATATATATATATATATATATATATATATATATATATATATATATATATATATATATATATATATATATATATATACATATATATACAGTATATATATACACATACACACATACCTACGTATCCAACCCATCCTCCTGATTAGATAGTACTGTACTTTTTGTAATGATGTATACCATTGTACATACATAGATGTAATGGACAATTAGATAGTAGAATTTGGTGCTAAGATAAAAAACATCTTAGTTTATAAGTCAAAAAAATAACTAAAAACTAAACTTTAATATTCCTAGGCCTAGTATAGTACATGTATGTATTATATTAGGCCTCAGATATCATGTAAACCTAACCTAGGATGGTTAGTTTTTTTGCAACCTCAATACAAAAATGTTTCCAGTTAGTCCAAATGTTTCCAGTTTGTCCAAATGTTTCCAGTTTGTCCAAATGACTACTATAATAGTGGGGTAGAAATAGCCTAAGCTACTCTATCCCTTTGAGATGTATTTTTTCTTGTCTCAATAAACATACTTGAACTTGGAACTTGACTACTGTAATACCAGTTTCTATTTTCTAATTGCCTTTTACGTCAATTTACAGTACGTATGATGGTCCTCATCGTTACTATAAGTACTATGTAAACAGGAGGATGGTCTGCATATATTACATACACATACTCTTTCATTTTAGTGGATAATTTCTTCATTTATATTATACCTAAGCCTAAATATTTTCAACATTTTGAAAATCCAAATTGTTTTATTTGCTACTGGCATGCATGAGATGCTCCTAGCCAATGTATTGCAGCCAATCTTGGCAACATATTTGTTGCTTAAAAATAGTATTTTTAAATATAAGGTGTTCGACCAAATGTTATTATTTCTAATTTATATACATGGCAGTATGGAGAGTAAAGGTGCACTAGGCAAGGCACATGAGCATACTAGTGAGACCCCTTCCCCACACCTGCACTGCAGTATGGAAACTTTGCAACCCATTGTATGTCAGTAGACCTTTTTTGCCCTTACGGAATTGCTTAAAATTGCTAATAGGCATTAAATGCTGTATTGATATATTATTAGATTTTGCCATGAATTCAGAACATGAGTATTGTACATGGTGAAATTATTTGATAGAATACAGTGCTGTAGTTTGTTCATCTAATAGCAGATGTAACTTAGTTGTTTCATTTGGTTGACCTTGCTCGCAGTATCAGGTGTGGGTTACCCACAACCCATCCTGACCCTCACGTAACAAAAAGCCTTGCTTGCTTTTTGCTAGGGCCGCTAGAGGACTCCCAAGTGACTAGACGCCGCCTGGCAGACCGTGCTGCTTTAGACGTTACTGAAGGTAACCAATTGCATACCCTCCCTGTGTCTTTGCGACTATATCCACTTCAGTGGTAATTTTTTCTTGTTTTCCAATATTGTAGTTTTTCTTTTAACTTTACATCCTCTTAGAGCATGATTGTTTTAACACTCTAACTAGAAGTGTGATATTTATTGCTGTTATGGTTCCCTAATGCACGTATGTTTATAATCTGCTTACGTATTTACCCCCCTCTAATAACCACTCATGAATGATTTAAGCTTTTTTTGCTTATCCCAAATGCTTGCTTCTTTCATAAACACAAGTCTGAAATCCACAGTGCTCTCAACAGGAATCTAAATTAGTTTTCCCTTGGCCAATATGTGGGCTCAGTGCTCACTTTCCAGTGGCCTCTTACTCTCCATAGCTTCTTTTAATCCGTAAAATGAACAATTTACACTCACAAATGGTGTGATGTTATGTAATTGAGTAAAACTGTTTTGTAATCAATTTTATCCATGTTTCTAGGTATTATTATAGGTTTATATAATATTACTACTGTATTATAGGCTGCCATGCAAATAATTGCTATTGAATTAGGAAAATAATGCACACACCTACTGTAATGATATTGAACTGCCATGTTGTTATTAGGTTTAATTTATTCTTCAGATACTAGTACAAAGGTGAGTTGTAATTTTCTTTGCATTTTCATATAACAGAACTAAACTGTTCAGCATCATAAAAAAGATACAACTCAAATTATTATATTATTACATTTTTTCAAGTTTGAAATTCTTAGCAAAACTGTAATTAAACAAATTTAGTTGAAATGAGCACCTTGTTAAAAATTCATCAATAACTTTCTGAAAGGAAATACTGTACATGTAGCATTGCTCTCAAACAAAAAGCATATATTGATATTCTACAAGCTCTCTCAGTTAATACAGTGAACTGTTTGAAAATTTTAATGTAGCTTTGGACTTGTCTGTCTCCTGCTCAAATATAATTAATAATATTTATAACAAACTAGATGCAATGTCAAAGTTATGAATTAAAAATACTACATAGGTCTAAATTTTAACAAATTATTTACTGATATTGGCACTGCAAATAAATTTTCATTTAGAAAGAAAACACATGAATGATTTTCAATGAAAGAACTTAAATACCGTTGTGTGCATATTATCTCTTTATGGGCTGCATTTTTTTAAACGTGGTTATCATTCACAGGAGTGAATTTCTAAATTGTACTAACAAGATGATCTTGGGCACAGATGATATGCATGTCACACAATCACATAGGTTAAGCACCGTTGTGTTTGATTACTTATTAGATGAGTGACCCTGCTGACAGCTTCACCCATGGCTTCCTGGCTCTAACAATGGTTTTAATAGTATATTAAAATGGTTACAAAATTACAGACGATAAAATTTAACATAGAAAATGCTTTTGTGGGTTAATTTTGAAATTCATATACAGTACTGTCTCCCTAATTGCCCAAAAAGTATTTTTTGAAGTGGGTGAATTACACTCATGCTGGATAGGTAACTCGGAGTTTGTAAGAATGCTTTCTATATAGTGATGTATAATACTTTCTGTTCAAAATTCTCTATTCCTAGTAATCTCTTACGAAACATATTTAAATTCATAGTTGTCCTCCACCACCTATGCTGCGATAAATGTTGCAGGATTTCATCAAAGAGGTTGATTAATGTGTACAATCTGGCAACGTTACACATTTTGCAGTACTGTACTCTATTGTAAATAAATTTGTTTCTGTACTTGTCAAACATTAAAGTATTGCATTAATTTTTTTTTAAACAGATGCTTATCACTTTAGTACAGTAATGATTCTAAGGTACAGTAGTACAGTAATTCCAAAGTTTAAATAACTTTAAAAATACTGTATATGCACAAAGTTAATATTTATTAGTATAATATATCAACAATTGCTAGAAAGTGCATTGCTAGAAAGATTTCACCATGCAGTATTTCAGCATGTGGGCATTTATACTTATTTTATAGAGATAAAAAAAAAATAGTATAGCATAGTTCTTAAATGTGTTTCAGTATTTTGGACAAGATTAGATTTAGATATAAACCGAGTCAGGAAGCTTCCGCTCATACTATTACTTACGTGATCTGGCTGGTTACATTGTGTGTGCATTCATGTACTGTTTTAGTACATGATGGATATGCAAAGGGTTAAATATGAACATACATTTCATTGGTGCCTCAGTTTCATTACATTACCTTCCTTTCTTGATAGTGTCAGTATTCAAAATACTGCCAAAACATTTGTGAAAGATGCCCTAAAATATGTGATAATGTATTATAAATGTTGGCTTGGCTATCTTAAAAGAACATAATATGCCTCTACTGTACTTGCTCTTGGAAGCTATTAATGTGTAACAAAGAATGAAAATTGCCCGCTGCAAGCATTACAAGTGAAAAGGAATTGAGAGAGACAAGGTAAAAAATTAATTAAATGCAAATAAAGTAGTAACAATTTGAAAAGCAAAGTATTTATTTACTAGACATTGTGGAAGTGGAAAATCATAATAAATCTCATTGTAAAATATCAGTAAAAATGAAGGGCACCCAATTTCCTTTCTGCAGAGTAGCATTTCAATATATCTTTTATGTTTGTAACAAACTTTCCTTATCATTGAGAGTGCTGAGAAGGTAAGATTATAAAAAATATGGCAATGAATAAATACTTGTACAGTACATACATATACATATGATAAATTATAAATATATATGACATAAGAATACAGTAATAATAGAATTAAAATTTCATACATAATATTTAAGTTAAATTCTTAGTGTGCTAGATTTTTGTATATAGCAAACAAGTCACCACATACAGTACAGTAGCCCAAATAATTTTGTTGCTAATGCGTCTACAGTTGATTCAGTTTTTTATTAATACGTATCCCCTTCCTCTGAATGATCCTTATGCTCTTCATGTCCTCCCATTTGTCATTTTTCTAAGACCTTATGCCCATAAACAAAGTAATTAATCTTCACATCTGTTTTTTTTTTTTCTCTCTCTCTTTCTACCATTGCCTCAAATCCCCCAGCAAATAGTCGCTACATCGTCTCTCCAGCCACTTCCTTTTTGTGTTCCTCAGTGGCTTGTGACTTGCTGTGCTGTATATATGTTCTCTTTTTATCTCTCCTTCTTTTTTCTTCATTTTTCTTAGGTCTTTCATATATGTTAGATCGAGCCGGACTGGATATACAACAAGGTCCGTATTTCTCGTAAAGGGTTTAAAAGTGAGAATTATGGGGAATAGTATTTGGCTTAAAGTATATATATATGGTACATATCCTGCATACATTGCTTTAAGCATAAATAATATTCTTCAGTAGATATGGGTAATTCTGTTCAAAAGTAGGTGTGCATGTGTACATATATATATATATATATATATATATATATATATATATATATATATATATATATATATATATATATATATATATATATATATATATATATATATATGTATGTATGTATGTATGTATGTATGTAACATATACAGTATGCATGAATGCTTGCAAGAAACACCACAGTGAACTGGGAAAATGTATGAATACTTTTGCTTTGTAAGGAGTCTCGTCAGATACGAAGCACAGGGCCAACTATGAGGGCCAAAGCAGGAAGAATCAAGGAAAATCATGTTTGTCAATAATCCAATATAAATAACAAAAACTTATGCTTTGTCCTAAATACCAGAAATCCAGCATTGAAGTGAAATGCCTCTTTATAGTGGGTCCCTTCTGTAGTTTCCCAAGTTATCTTACCTCATTAGCTTTAAGCCTAAAAAACACCACCGGTTCCTTTGAACTGTGAATAACCTATCGGGAACCGGGACCAGAACCTGGCCGCCTCAATAGAGGGGACCAGGTTCTGGGGAGGGGACAGTGTGGGGAATACTAGATCAACACGGGATAAAAGAAAACACTACCAGAAAGGTCGAGTACCCCAAACAAGCAACTACTGAACATGGAAACATGTTAATTAACCCAGACATAAACTATGTAAACACTTGTTTTCCAGACTGACCTAGTAGTAAGATACCCATCACCATATGACAGCTCTGGCAACTTGGGCTTCCCTCCAGCAGCTCTCGTCAAACATGCACTGCTGAGGAGAAACCTCCAAGGCATGAATGGCAGGAATGGGAAGCTACAGATGGGATCCACCAGAAATAGGTGTTTCATCACTTTCAGTACTGGATTTCTGGGAGGGGCATAATCAAACAATCAATTTTGGATTATGTTTATTTATATACAAGAAGGTACAGTGGGTTGTGAAAGTACATAACATTGGTGTTCTTACATTCTTGCAAAGCCACTAACGCACATAGTGTTTCGGGCAGGTCCTTAATCTAACAGATAAAATTAAGAGTAATTAAAAAGTACATTGTAGCAGAATTTGTTTTCAACATAATAACAATAAAAATTGATTGTACAGTATTGATTATATTATCAGTATGTGTGTGTCAATTTGCATTGTGCAATTTTACATTTGTTTCTGCACCAAAAGGTACAGTCATGTTTTGTTATTAAAACCATGTAAATTATTTCAATTGTTAGTTACTTTTTGTATTATTATATGTGACGTTTTTTGATTTTTCTGCTTCAGCCCTTGTGGTTGACACTATGCTATGTATCTGACAAAGCTCTTTATGGAGTGAAAGTACTTACATTATTTTCCAGTTCAATGGAGTTCTTCTTGGAATTTAGGTCACTTGTTCTGTGACATCTTGAATGCATGCATGTAAAATAAATAAATTGAAATATATATATATATATATATATATATATATATATATATATATATATATATATATATATATATATATATATATATATATATATATATACAGTATATCAGTATATAAAATTAAATATTTCACTCACACGTATGCACACAATAGAGCATGTATATGTATGTATGTATGTATGTATGTATATATATATATATATATATATATATATATATATATATATATATATATATATA